GAATGTTAAACTTGAGTCTTCACTTCCATTCGCTTCAAGTTATTAATAAACTGATTCTAATTAAGGTGTGCCCTGAGAGGATATCCTGGTGTGAATTCGGAATACCGAATCCATCTTCCAATGTCAAAGACACCTTACACCTCACACGCGCACACACACACACACGGTTGCTCTCTCGCTCACACGCACAGACAGACGCACAGACACGCACACTCGCGCACAGCTTCGTGCACAGAGAGAGGCACACTCGCACAGACACGCGCAGTCTCATGCACAGAGAGAGGCACACTCGCACAGACAGATGCACAGACACACACAGTCTCGAGCACACACACATGCACAGACACGCGCAGTCTTGCGCACAGACGCACACAACACAGAAGTGCGCAGTCTCGTGCACAGACAGACACACATGCAGTCTCACGCACAGAGACAGGCACACTCGCACAGACAGATGCACACACACATGCAGTCTCAGGCACAGAGAGAGGCACTCTCGCACAGGCAGACACGCACAAAGACACAGTCGCACAGATGTGCATACAGACACACACGTGCGCAGTCTCACGCACAGACAGATGCACACACACACGCAGTCTCACGCACAGAGAGACGCACACTCGCACAGCCAGATGCACACACACATGCAGTCTCACGCACAGAGAGAGGCACTCGCGCACAGGCAGACGCACAGACACGCACACAATTTCGCGCACAAACAGATGCACAGACACACACGCACGCAGTCTCACGCACAGATAGACACACACATGCACAGAGATGTGCAGTCTCGTGCACAGACAAACGCGCACACACACACACTGACACGTGTAGTCAAGACTGGGAGTGTGCGAGAGAGTCCGAGAGTGTAACCCCAAGGAGGGGCAGGTTTGGAGGGGGCTGTCAGAGGACCCTCGGCAATGCAGAAACTCCCTCCCTAAGGGGGACAAACACAGGGTGTCCTTTAAGCACACGGGGAGGGGAGGACTGCAGCAGTTCAAGCAAGCTTCTCACCCCCCGCTCCCCCCCACCCCGACCTTCTCAACTAGGGGCAATTAGGGACGAGTGAGAAAACGCCATGACCCACCCCGAAATGAGAGTTTTACCATAGGAGTTTTAGGTCACTGTGCATTATATTTAAAGTAGTTAATGTTACAAACTTAGGACATTGTGGGATTTCCAGATGGGAAAGGGGCACAGATATTCCAGTTGGCATTGAAGGGGAGTCTAGGGCCAGAGGGGGCATCATCTCAGAGTAGGGGGGGGGAGGGGGGTCGCCCATTGAAGACAGAGACGGGGAGGAATTTCTTCCCACCGAGGGGAGTGAGTCTGTGGAATTCTTTACCGCAGAGGGCTGTCGGGGCTGGGTCGCTGAGACGTTTAATCGGGAAGGGGGATCGAGGGGTTATATTCGAGGCTGAGAGAGAGAGACGTTTAATCAGGAAGGGGGATCGAGGGGTTATATTCGAGGCTGAGAGAGAGAGACGTTTAATCGGGAAGGGGGATCGAGGGGTTATATTCGAGGCTG